CATGAAAAAACCCTATTAAGTTGCATTATACTGGTTTACATGGAAAAAAACCCTATTAAGTTGCATTATACTGGTTTACATGGAAAAATCCCTATTAAGTTGCATTATACTGGTTTACATGGAAAAATCCCTATTAAGTTGCATTGGCTGAAATCCTTGAAACTGTTGAATCCTTGAAACTGTTGAATCATTGAAACTGTAGAAATGTCTGAAAGAGCTGAAGTCCTATTAAAATGCATGGGCCTATTAAAATGCATTGCAGAATTCTCAATGCAGATTTTTGTCCGATTGCGGAAAAACCGGAAATCGCCCGCTGAAGTCCCAAAAGTAATAGCAATGAATCTCCCAAACATGTGGAACGTTTTGATGTATAACTTAGTGGAAATTGTTGAAAATGTGAAAGCTGTGAAACGTGTCAAAAAAAATGACGGAATAAAGAAATACAAAACCAATGGTTGACTGCGGAAGGTTCCGCAGTCAATCAATAATTGATTGACTGTACGGAACCTTCCGCAGTCAACCATTGGTTTTTATTTCTTTATCATTCCAGTCATTGATTGACTGCGGAACTTTCCGCATCAACCATTGGTTTTGTATTTCTTTAAGTTCCGTCATTTTTTTTGACACGTTTCACAGCTTTCAACATTTTCAACAATTTCCACAAGTTATACATCAAAACGTTCCACATGTTTGGGAGATTATTGCTATTACTTTTGGGACTTGTCAGCGATTTCCGTTTTTTTTTTTTCCGCAATCGGACAAAAATCTGCATTGAGAATTCTGCAATGCATTTTAATAGGCCCATGCATTTTAATAGGACTTCAGCTCTTTCAGACATTTCTACAGTTTCAATGATTCAACAGTTTCAAAAGGATTCAACCGTTTCAAGGATTTCAGCAGTTTCAAGATTTCAAGAGTTTCAAGGACTTCAACAGTTCAAGGACTTCAGCAGTTTCAAGGACTTCAGCAGTTTCAAGGACTTCAGCAGTTTCAAGGACTTCAGTGTAATCATGCAACCTAATAGGGATTTTTTCCATGTAAACCAGTATAATGTCAACTTAATAGGGATTTTTCCATGTAAACCAGTATAATGCAACTTAATAGGGTTTTTTCATGTAAACCAGCTATACATGCAACTTAATAGGGTTTTTTTTTTCTTGTAAACCAGTATCAATGCAACTTAATGGGGATTTTTCCATGTAAACCAGTATAATGCAACTTAATAGGGGTTTTTACATGTAAACCAGTACTAATGCTAACTTAATAGGGTTTTTTCCCATGTAAACCAGTATAATGCAACTTAATAGGGTTTTTTCCATGTAAACCAGTACAAATGCAACTTAATAGGGATTTTTCCATGTAAACCAGTATAATGCAACTTAATGGGGATTTTTCCATGTAAACCAGTATAATGCAACTTAATGGGGATTTTTCCATGTAAACCAGTATTATGCAACTTAATAGGGATTTTTCCATGTAAACCAGTATAATGCAACTTAATAGGGATTTTTCCCATGTAAACCTGTATAATGCAACTTAATGGGGATTTTTCCATGTAAACCAGTATAATGCAACTTAATAGGGATTTTTTCCATGTAAACCAGCTATAATGCAACTTAATAGGGTTTTTTCCATGTAAACCAGTATAATGCAACTTAATAGGGTTTTTTTAACATGTATAACCAGTATAATGGCACTTAATAGGGGTTTTTACATGTAAACCAGTATAATATCGGAACTTAATAGGGGTTTTTACATGTAAACCAGTATAATGCAACCTTAATAAGGATTTTAACAACATGTAACCCCACTATAATGCACACCTCATAGGGGGTTTTTACATGTAAACCAGTATAAAGCAACTTAATAGGGATTTGTACATAGGTAACACCACGTCTCATGCAACCTAATAGGATTTTTTCCGCCATGTAAACCAGTATAATGCAACTTAATAGGGATTTTTCCATGTAAACCAGTATAATGCAACTTAATAGGGATTTTTCCATGTAAACCAGTATAATGCAACTTAATAGGGATTTTTCCATGTAAACCAGTATAATGCAACTTAATAGGGATTTTTCCATGTAAACCAGTATAATGCAACTTAATAGGGATTTTTCCATGTAAACCAGTATAATGCAACTTAATAGGGGTTTTTACATGTAAACCAGTATAATGCAACTTAATAGGGTTTTTTCCATGTAAACCAGTATAATGCAACTTAATAGGGATTTTTCCATGTAAACCAGTATAATGCAACTTAATAGGGATTTTTCCATGTAAACCAGTATAATGCAACTTAATAGGGTTTTTTCCATGTAAACCAGTATAATGCAACTTAATAGGGATTTTTCCATGTAAACCAGTATGCAACCTAATAGGGATTTTTCCATGTAAACCAGTATAATGCAACTTAATAGGGATTTTTCCATGTAAACCAGTATAATGCAACTTAATAGGGTTTTTTCATGTAAACCAGTATAATGCAACTTAATAGGGTTTTTTTTCATGTAAACCAGTATAATGCAACTTAATGGGGATTTTTCCATGTAAACCAGTATAATGCAACTTAATAGGGGTTTTTACATGTAAACCAGTATAATGCAACTTAATAGGGTTTTTTCCATGTAAACCAGTATAATGCAACTTAATAGGGTTTTTTCCATGTAAACCAGTACAATGCAACTTAATAGGGATTTTTCCATGTAAACCAGTATAATGCAACTTAATGGGGATTTTTCCATGTAAACCAGTATAATGCAACTTAATGGGGATTTTTCCATGTAAACCAGTATTATGCAACTTAATAGGGATTTTTCCATGTAAACCAGTATAATGCAACTTAATAGGGATTTTTCCATGTAAACCAGTATAATGCAACTTAATGGGGATTTTTCCATGTAAACCAGTATTATGCAACTTAATAGGGATTTTTCCATGTAAACCAGTATAATGCAACTTAATAGGGTTTTTTCATGTATAATGCAACCTAATAGGTTGCATTATACCACCAGACCAAGACCCAAACGAAGACTCAGACCACCACCAGATAATGACCACAGACCAGGTTTCCTTAGTTACAGGAACCAAATTGTTTCAGCGGTGAGGGGATTTTTCAGTTTCAAGGACACTTTCAATACATTCAGTAGTTTCAAGGATTTCAGCTGTTTAAGAATTTAACCAGTTTCAAGGATATCAGGAGGTTCAAGGATTTCAGGAGTTTCCACACTTTCAACAGTTTCCAGGTTTAAAAAAGTTTCAAGGATTTCAGGAGTTTCAATGTTTCAACAGTTTCAAGGATTTCAGGAGTTTAAAGGTTTCAACAATTTCAAGGACTTCAGGAGTTTCAAATATCTATCAAGTATTTTAACAGTTTCAAGGCTTTTTAAAGGATTTCAAGGATTTTTTTTAGCAGATTTCCACATTAGATCTGTTCCGCAGTCAATCGCAATGGCTTCAGCCATTGCAAGTTTCTAGTATTGATAATGCATTGGTTTTATATAGCACTTTTCTGGACACTCAAAGAAGCTTCACATGTCATTGGTGTTCCCAAAGGTCTCCCATCACAGTACTAACCAGGTCTGACTGAATCTAAGAGCTGTGTGCGAGTCCCTTCCTTCCCCACACGGGGCGCTCTGACAAAAATAACTACATGCTGCTTCTCCCTACAATATGCCAAGTATCTATCGATGACCTGAGATCAAAACTTTATTGATCAGACGGTGGAGAAACGTACATTTGGCTTCAGATCACTCAGGAAATATACAAACAAATGTGCAATGTACATGTTCAAAAGTGAAAGGATATTGAGTAACTTGTGCACGTGACTCCAGCAGTGCACAGTTTGCAGTCCTAGTGCAGGTTGTCATTATGTGACTTGATGTACAGTCTGACAGCGGTGGGGATGAAGCTTGGCTAACCCCTCCTGGCCCTCACCTCCTCCATGAGTCGAGGAGAAACAGACATTTAGTTCTTGCCAAAATGTTCAACAACCATAAATATTGTCCTGATGAAAACTTCTAGCACCACTCCCACATGTTCTGACCTCAGCTCCATCTCTCCGTCTCCTTTTATGGAGTTTACAAGTCTAGTTTTACAAGCCTCTGTGCGTGCATTGGGGATATGCAGTTTGGGTAATTAGCTGTATTGGGAAATGTGTTTTTAAAGTCAATCTTTTTAGGCACTACGTTAGGTTAAGTTAAAAGATCTCATTGGAAGGAAAAATATCAACTCAAAACAATAATCAGACTAAATATTTCATATTTTACAATGTGATTTCATATCTTCAGAAAATAAATGGTGAAAAAAGTATGAGGAGTAAAAAAAGTAATTCAGTCTGTAACTTCCTATTTTAGATTTTTGACAGAAGGAGCGGGATAACATGTTAGTTCCTGATGTGAGCGTGGATGGAGCTAAAACAACTCCAGGTTTCAGTGACCTGAGGATCAATGTTGAAACAAGGAGAAATGATAAAAAGTAAATTATACATACTTTGTCTTCCTTCATTGAAAATAAAATCCCCTCTACTCTTCTACTCTAGAGTTACTTTAAAGAGAAGTGGGCGGGGGTAGGTGGCAGGTGAATCAGACCTTTTCCAGTCTCAAAAAATACTTTCTATTGCACTAAATGGAACTTTGTGTTGATAATGACAAGATATCACAGTTATAACAAGGCAATAAGCAAACGCTGTACCCCTTTAAAGCTGCGGTACCTAACTTTATTCTTTACATAAACAGCAAAAAGTAAGTAGTTGTGAACTTATTCATCTGAGTAGAAAACATGTTACCTTTTGCAAACATGTAACAAAGTGTAACTCCGTGAGTCAATATTTGACTCTTTGGGCTGAGTGAGGATGGTCCTCTCTTTTTCACTGTTTTGTTTTAAAAAGCTGTTCTAAAAGATGTTTTAGAGGCCAAAATTACATGTCTGTGAAATTAGTGATGTAAATGGAACATGTGGTTTATAAAAGTCCAGTATCCCAGCTTTAATTCCCATGACATTTACATGACGACGACCCCACTGGAGACCACCATGACGTGAATGACCACATACTTGGATCTGGAAGGCTTGAAGAAGTCCACAGAGAAGCCGAAGTAGCTGCCCTCGGGTCCAGCGAACACGGAGGGTTTATCCACGTCCAGGTTAAAGCCTCCGCAGCTCTGCAAGTATCCCACACACAGCACCAGCGCGGCCCGCAGCAGAGCCATGGTTCTCCCGGTCAGTACTGTGGATCCGAACGGAACAAATGTGAGGCTGGAGACCACTACCACTGCTGCTTCTGCTGCTGCTTCTGCTGCCGCTCCTGCTGCTGCTGCTGCTGCTCCTGCTGCTTCTGCTGCTGCTTCTGCTGCTGCTTCTGCTGCTGCTGCTGCTGCTGCGTGACCATCAGTGGTGTAAACGCGTCTAAACAGCAGACATGTTCCGCCTGTTTGCAGAGAAGCAGGCGGCGGTGGAGGTGACGCGGACCCGGGGGATGCAGGTCTAGGCTGGGGGCAGAGCCAGGACGTGGTGGAGGTCCAGGCTGAGAGGGAGAACTAGGACAGAGAACCCGTGTTTGTGCCTCACTGAGCGGGGAAGCGCAGAAGTGTGTCACCGAAGGCTCGTTCCGAAAGTAGCTTCAGTGTAGATCGAACTAAAGCGAATTACGCACGGCTTCCGTAGAGCGCTTTCAAAATAAAATAATAATGCTTCGGTTTTATACAGCGCTTTTACTGAACTTGGTCTGATCTTTACAGCAAGCTTTAACATGTCTATGTTGGTAGAGCTGGAGTTGGCTGGATGATACTGTGAACTTGTAGTTATAATCTTAAAGACTTTTGTTAGAAAGGGCCAAAAAATGACCCGCGGGCCAGGTCTTAGTTTGAGTACTACCCTCTCCTCGTCCTAGTTTTTGCACTTTAAATAGAGTGGTTTAGCACTCTCTGTGGTTCTTTCTATAAGGATTGACCAATCAGAAGTCTTCATTTGCAAGGGGAACTCCAGCCTTCATCAGCAAGGATCTGAACAGTCACCAAAAGGATGGAACACATAGCTCCAGTGTAAAAATCACTCCACTTCCCGGCACGAAGGTCCTGTGTTCGGATTCCTGTCGGAACAGGGCCTTTCTGAGTGGAGTGTACACGATCGAATTTGGTTGATATGACACCAACCAAATTCTCAAAGAGTCCAAAAGCACAGTCGGTGGCAGAGCTTTAAGCGCCAAGCACCTTGTGCAGAATCAGCCCCTCATCCACGTTACGGAAGCAGACATAGTCTCTACATTTAAGACCAGACTTAAAACATAGTCCTCTTTACTTCACCATATGGTTAGGTAGATAAGACTCAGGGAAGACTTAGCAATAAGTGTAAAAACACAGATTGTCAGTGATGCTGCATATGAAGCCACTACTGGAGAAAAGTATGGTAACAGTACTATCCTCTTCTATTTTATCTGTCATCATAATGACTTCAGCTGTAGGCAGTTCATTACTATTCACGCAATGTCCCCAACTTTGTCTGTTTTACGGCGTGATTATGAGATCCGACCCCGTCACCCCAGCCTCCTCCATCTGCACCTGTGGACTGTCATCATCGATTCGTGGGCTGCCCCTTATGGAGCAATGGCTCTATTGTTATCATTGCATTTCTTCTGTTTGAACTATTTGATTCTCTGGTCTGTGTTGGGGAAATCAACGATTGTGTGTTCTCTAATACTGTTGTGATTTAGGCTATACAAGAAGAAATTATTTGATTTGCCGTAGCAACACGTCTACCCCTGTTACGACGCAAGGCTATAACACCGCAGAACAAACGGCCATATAAGGAAACTGGCTCCAGCTTATGTTCAAATAGGCTTCTTTTACATTAAGGCACTAACACTGGTAATGTCACACTGTGGTAATGTCACACTGTGGTGATGTCACACTGTGGTGATGTCACACTCGGTCAGTCCACTCCTAATACACAGTCTCTGCATATGACTACAGCTCAGAAATGATTATAATTTATTGTGAAGGCTCAGTGTGGCTCTCTGCTACTTCCCGTTTGTTTGTTGTAAACTTGACGCAACAGCAGTGCTGGCCTTCACCAAACTATACAGGAAGTTCATATCAGTCACTGAAAACAAGCGGTGTGTGTGTGTGTGTGTGTGTGTGTGTCTGTGTGCGTGGGTGTATGTGTGAGTCTGCGTGTGTGACTTCTTTATTATGCTCAAATTAGAGATTATATTGTATGTTTGTAAAGGGTTTCATACACTTATCTTGGGCTATGTGCTCCTCATTCTACGGTTTTGTAACTGGTGATGCAACACTGACATTTCCCCACTGTGGTACGTGTGTTGATAGTGTTGTGTTGTGTTGTGTTGATAGCGTTGTGTTGTGTTGATAGTGTTGTTGTCTCGTGCCTGACAGAAAACCACTCTTCGTCACTGTGTAAAGTCTGACGCCCTTTTTTGATAATCCCTGGACGCCCATATATGGTCACAGCGTCCTCCAGCCCTGAATCCAGTCTGCACCACAACTGCTCCAACAAATCCACTGTTTATCAACTACTATTACAGTATTTAACAAAGTGAAACATTATGGAGAACTATAGAACACTTGGATTATGCTTCATGACTCAGAACAACGTCTGTGCTGCATGTTTCCATTCTTAATATACACTTTATAGTTTTTTTGTTTTAATCTTTGAAAACATGTGACCTAAGAACTATTATTCATAATGACACAATGTTCTACACTCAAGCTGGTCTCTCTTTCTCGTCTCTCTCTGGTCTCTCTCTGGTTCCTCTCTGGTTCCTCTCTGGTCTCTCTCTGGTCTCCTCTGGTCCTGGTCATATTTGGTCATGAGTTTGCAAATGTGCAGTTTGATGAAGTGTGTGCAGAAGAATGTGTGAGTGAGGGGGTGAGGAGATAAGGGGTGAGGGTATGAGGGAGTGAGGAGGTGGGGGGGATTTGGAGGTGAGGGGTGAGGTGGGTGCCAGGTGTCTCCAGGAAACAACAACTTTCTCAGTGTCCTACAGTCAAACGTCTCTGTTGCAGCTGACAGAACAGTCATCATCTACAATCATCTACTCTACAATCATTTTCAATCATCTACAATCATCAACAATCATCAACAATCATCTACATCATCTAGAAGAAGAAGGTCCTTTATTCGTCCCACAATGGGGAAATTTCAGTTTGATGCATACACATATATACACCTACACATCAAGGCATGCAGCGAACATCATATCCGCGCTCCTTATAGGCTTAAGTGTCTTGCCCAAGGACACAACAACAGCAGGCATCAGTGGGAGTCGGTGGAGAAGGTCCCACGGTGGGCTCGAACCCACGACCTTTGGGCCCAAAGTCCAATGCTCTACCAACTGAGCTACTGTCGCCCCAATCTACAATCATCTGCAATCATCTACAATCATCTACAACCATCTACAATCATCTACAATCATCTACATCATCTACAATCATCTACAATCATCTACATCATCTACAATCTACAATCATCTACAATCATCTAAACTTATCTACATCCCTCTACAATCATCTACATAATCTACATCATCTACATCATCTACAATCATCTACAACCATCTACATCATCTACAATCATCTACATTATCTACAATCATCTACAATAATCTACATCATCTACAATCTACAATCATCTACAATCATCTAAACTTATCTACATCCCTCTACAATCATCTACATAATCTACATCATCTACATCATCTACAATCATCTACAATCATCTACAACCATCTACATCATCTACATAATCTACATCATCTACAATCATCTACATCATCTACAATCATCTACAATCATCTACAATCATCTACAATCATCTACATCATCTACAATCTACAATCATCTACAATCATCTAAACTTATCTACATCCCTCTACAATCATCTACATAATCTACATCATCTACATCATCTACATAATCTACATCATCTACAATCATCTACAATCATCTACAATCATCTACAATCATCTACATCATCTACAATCATCTACAATCATCTACATCATCTACAATCTACAATCATCTACAATCATCTAAACTTATCTACATCCCTCTACAATCATCTACATAATCTACATCATCTACATCATCTACAATCATCTACAATCATCTACAACCATCTACATCATCTACAATCATCTACATTATCTACAATCATCTACAATAATCTACATCATCTACAATCTACAATCATCTACAATCATCTAAACTTATCTACATCCCTCTACAATCATCTACATAATCTACATCATCTACATCATCTACAATCATCTACAATCATCTACAACCATCTACATCATCTACATAATCTACATCATCTACAATCATCTACAATCATCTACAATCATCTACAATCATCTACAACCATCTACAATCATCTACAATCATCTACATCATCTGGAATCATCTACAATCATCTAAAATCATCTACAATCATCTACAATCTACATAATCTACAATCATCTACAATCTACATAATCTACATCATCTACAATCATCTACAATCATCTACAATCATCTACAATCATCTACAATCATCTACATCATCTACAATCATCTACAATCATCTACAACCATCTACAATCATCTACAATCATCTACAATCAACTAAAATCATCTACAATCATCTACAATCTACATAATCTACAATCATCTACAATCTACATCATCTACATCATCTACAATCATCTACAACAATCTACAATCATCTACATAATGTACAATCATCTACAATCATCTACAAGGGCGGCAGTAGCTCAGTTGGTAGAGCGTTGGCCTTTGAGCCAGAAGGTCATGGGTTCAAGCCCCGCTCAAGACTTTCACCATCGACTCTCACTGACTACTGTTGTTGTGTCCTTGGCAAGACACCTAACCTCTGGGAACACCAGCCACAGTGGGGCGGCTGTAAAGTGCCAAACTGCCGTTGTGTCCTTAGGCAAGACACTTCGCCCCCATTGCCTAGAATGAGTCAGGTGTGTGTATGAATGGTTGGTGGTGGTCGGAGGGGCCGATGGCGCATACTGGTTGCCTTGCTTCTGTCAGTGTGCCCCAGGGCAGCTGTGGCTACAGTAGTAGTTTGTCACCACCGTGTATGGAGTGAATGAATAATGACACATGTGAAGGGTCTTTGAGTGTCCAAAAAAGCGCTATATAAAACCGATGCATTATTATTACAACCATCTACAACCATCTACAAT